TTTGAGCGCCCCTCGTATTTGGAAATATAGATATTATGTTGAAACGGGAATTTGTCTCTGTCTAAGACATTCGATAGCTCAACCAATGATGCGCTCTCTCTAAAAATCAATAATTACGGTCAGACGTTGTGCGCGCTTGGCTTACTTATGGATGGGGAATATTCACGTTTTCACACATTCGGTCAGCTGTTGGCTTTTGAAATTTCTTTTTCAATTTGGCTGCGAAATAAACCGGTTGGGTTTAGTGTAGAAAGTAGAAATTAATTTTATTGTGTGCATATTCTGCTGAAATTATCTTTGAGTTATCTCTTTTATTAATAGTGAGCTTTTCGCGTAATATAAATTCCAAAATGTACAAAATGGCTGCCTTTAATTTTATATTTTTTCTTCTGTTATTTAAAAAAATCTTTCCATTCTTCATGTGTTTTAAATTAAATACTATTGCAAATCTCTAATATTGTTGTAAATTTGAAATGTTTAATTTAAAAATGTTTAATTTAAATTGTAAGTTTTTTTGGCTGACCACATGTGTTGTTTTTTTTTTTGAAGCAATGGAAAGATACGGTTTTTTTTGTTGTAACTGACACGTTTTTTCTTTCTTAAAAATAAGGAACTGGCTCTGGATCTGTAACAAACTAAGGAACTGGCTCTGGATCTGTAACAAACTAAGGAACTGGCTCTGGATCTGTAACAAACTAAGGAACTGGCTCTGGATCTGTAACAAACTAAGGAACTGGCTCTGGATCTGTAACAAACTAAGGATCTGGATCTGTAACAAACTAAGGAATTGTCCTTTGTAATCTGGAACTGCAGAATCATTGTCAGCTAGTTGCCACTAGAGCTGCGGAATATCTTGGGCTGAGTTGCGTAAGGAACTGCAGTGTTTTGAAGTCATCGTAGGCTCACCGCTCACCTACCATTAAGACACGGACCAGACCAGTTCGACCGTTGAAATCCGGAAACACAAGATAAGTGTCGGCCAGGACCACACACACAATTTTGAGTCACTAGTCAATTTTAATTTTAAACTCATCATTAGTAAAACGTAAACCGTAAAATGTGTTAAAATCAATTAATTTAATTTTCTTTTATATTATGTAATCAGTCTCAGTCAAATTCGAAATTTAAATTAAAGCCGATTAATTGTTTTGAAATATGTTTTAATAACGTAACTTTGTAAAAGTAACATTTTTTATAAAACATTTAACTATATATACTTGAAATGTAACAAGTCCTTGCTGTTCAACGTTAATCGTTCTCTTCATTAAGCCGTTTTTCCCGTTTGAATTGGACCACGTGATACATGCTAAGGCCCTTGTGGCATTACACAAGATTTTTCTCTTCAACGTTCATCATTCTCTACGTAATGCATGGCATTGCGCATGATTTTTTCTGTACGACGTTTTTTACATAATGCCGTTTTTTCCGTTTAAATCGGACCATGTGATACACGCTAAGGTCCTTGTGGCATTGCGCATGATTTTTTCTGTACGACGTTTTTTTACATAATGTCGTTTTCCCCGTTTGAATTGGACCACGTGATACGCGGCCCTTCTGGATTTTCGTTCTGAACAAAAATTCTATTCGACGTTAATCGTTCTCTACATAAAGTCGTTTTTTCTGTTTGAATCGGACCACGTAATACATGGTTAGGTCCTTTTGGCTTTTCATTTACCTCGTATATTTTTCATTGTTTACGTCAATTATTGCCGCCATCTTGGATTCTCGACGTTATCAAACCGCGAACCGGCGTTATCATGTTTACTGATAACCCAGACTTCGAACTTCGACGCGTGATCTTGAAAGAGACAAAAATTGGCAGAATGAACCTTAGCGATTTCCCATGTTAATTTACATAAGGAATGGCCCCGAATCAGTGCTGCCCCTTTACTGATCGTTAGTCGTTGTCATACTCTTCGTTCACTGTCATACATCATCGTTAGTTATCGTCGTTGTCTGGAGAACTGGAGGTTGGCAACACTGTTGAGAGATGACTTGATAGCTGATCGATAACATGACACGTGACATGTGCCGCACCTCGCACCTGCGCAGTTTAAAAAGTGTACCCAATAATCCCATTAACTACTGGTGTCAAATAACCCATTTTCATATTTAACTTTTTCCCCAAATGAGGTCACGATTGTGCAGACGACGTTGTAACGAAAACAAGTATTGTAAAAAGTAGTACTTAAAGTGTGTCAAATTTGGTTAAAAAATGTCGATCCGTTCAAAAGATAAAAGGGTGGGATATTTACATCCGCACTGTATATTAATATTTAAAAGTGAAAAATGATTGTAGAAGTTAAATAACCAAAAACTGCATCACAAATGCACCCTTTGGAAGCAATCCAGAAAAAAAAACATTTTGTAAGCTTGATAAAAATTTTCAGATACAGTTGAAAGAAACTCAACTATTTTTATGAAGTACAAGGTCAGCTACACGTAACTCGACGTTCATTATGTTACTTTGTAGTTTCGACTCCAATGAGAATATTAGTTGAAAATGTAAGTTTTATTGGCTCTAAATATAAGATAAATGTTTTACTGGCAACATATTGGAGTTTCAAACCAATATAGGCGACAATTCTCGCTTATTTATGTTTTTGTCGCAATAAAATGAATTGTCATCCATTTAGCAAATAACTATGTATAATAATATAAATTGTTTGTATTTTTTTCATATTCATCCGGACGATTTATTTTGGACTAATGAAATGAAACCAAAGCTAGAAAAATTTTACTACACCTGTTGAAATTACATTCAACATGTCCTATCTGCTAATCTAAAGCTGATTTAGAGTGTCTAGTATTTTATTCTTTTTGTTTGTTAAGTGCGGAGGTTTATACAGGGAGTGTCTATCTAGTATTTTATTCTTTTTTGTATTTGAATGCTCCGCACTTAACAAACAAAAAGAATAAAATACTAGACACTCCCTGTATAAACCAATTATCTAAAGTTGTGAAATAACAACTCGGTTAACTTTCAAATAACCTTCAAAGACACCTGCTACTTCGCAAAGAATTAAAACTAAGTTACGCGAGATTTTTTCACCCAATCGTTTCCCTCACGTGCAATCATACGATACTAGATAACCAATCAGAAGAAAGCCGGTAAACCGATGCAAGCTAACAAGTATCGCAGAACAAACAAAACACGCACTCTCGTTTTCTCAGTCGACGAAGCGACAAGTCAGCACTTACAAAAGCCGGCATTCGCCGTAAATTAATTTCAAGCATTGTGCGAGTTGATTTACAAAAGTTAATATGTAATCGATCAATAAATTTATGTAACCAAGTAATAAATGTGTTAAATGTGAAATCATCAAGCCGTGAATATATCAATTTCAAATATAGGGTGATAGTTTTATTTGAATAAACTCAGTGCTTCAACCAGAACTTCAAGAATATCTTCCAGAGGCTACAGGGTGGAGCATAAGGGCTTCACCCCAGGTAATCTATTTCAAATACAGTCATACAGTCATAAAGCTAGGGTAGAACAACACCTGTCTCCTACCCGAAATAATTGATGATAGATGCTAGAGAAGCACCTCTTGGCGACGTTGTCAACTACATCAAATCCGTAGGCTGGCTCACGAGCTAGGAGTGCCTATCATCTTAGGAGGATGCACAATGGTCCTCGTGAGGCATACGTGTCGTGGGGGGGTAACCCACCCTCCACACGTTACAGATAGATAGCCGAGGAAGATGGAAATTCGCAATCCAACACCAGAATAATTACTTTCATATGTTTAAATATCTGAATATTCTCCGCCCAAATTCTTATATTTACTAGAGATTTTGTAAATAAACTTTAACTCAGAATGTCTAGTTTACTTTTAAATCATATATTTAATACCTATAACTTTAAAAACAATGCAAAATTCACTATTTATATAAAAATCCTGCAAGGCCTGTTTTAGTTTTGATAAAATAAATAAAAATAAAATATAATGAAATAAAATAAAAACACTTCCCTCCGACCATGTGTGCTATCTGTGTAAATGCGCTTGAACACGAAAAAGTGTTAAACGACATGCCCGTTCGTTCGCAATGAAAATATCGCCTGCGAATTGGAACTTGCCATATGAAAAGTTTGTCTGACCTAATCTCGTTCGCATTCATAAGCCCCGCCCTCAGTTTCGATAAAAATGTTGAGATTACGGCATTTCTGCAACGCCGGTGCACATAGAGAGCCGTCTTAAAAAAAAATTAATAAAGACAAGTTAAAGAGAAAATTTGCCTGTTTCATTAGGTATTGAAATCGAGAATGTTTATTTCTTACTGTCAATTCCTAATAAGGATAAAACCGGTCCAAGAATGACGTTCTTATTAGCAAAAATCAAATTAAGTAGTGTTAAAAACATATTTTCTGTCTTTTTTTGTTTAGTTACAATTCAATTCCTGTTTCAGTATTAGCCAAAGGAGCAGTTGTTTCCATAGGGAAAAGGTTGCACGTATTATTTTGTAACCCATTACTGTGAAAATTTCTTGTTCTTCTTTATTTAATGCACATGTTTCTAATATTAATATATTGGTAATATCTCTTTCGGACGAGTAGTGTTGGGCACATCTTTAAAAAACTTTTACGTTACGTTTGAACATTAATGAATTTCACATGTTGTTGTCGCATTTCCTAACTCTAGAAAACACCGAACGAGTTTGCAGACACGGGACATTTTTTTCTATATTCAAAGACGCTATGAATTATCAAATATAAGATTTAAAAAACAAATTTCACTGAACAACAAAGTAACCTTTTCTTTACAGAGTTAACCAATTATTCATGTATTAAAATATTTGAGCCTAGTTGAGTTTTCAATTTAATTTCAAGATTTATAATTTGGCAAATACTCTTCATTATTTTCGAAAACTTTGTAGGCATACTTATACAAAACCAGATATATATATAATTAAATTTACCCCTTGGGAACAAAATACTTACTAAAGCCAGATGACTATTAATAAAAATATAGAACCAAAATCAAAATGTCATTACTTACATTGCAACAATATGCCCTGCATTCTTCCTCTCATTATTTCCTTGGCCTTCCTCAGTTCCTCTTCATATTGACCCTTCTCGCTAAGCAATCTTCTTACATGGGAATTTGTAGACTGGATCATCGAGTAAAAACTGTTTGAATTTCTCTTATTGCAATCGCCTCTCTCCAACCAGGTTATGACTATCTATAAAAAGAATTAATGACATTGTGAAAACGTAATTATAATAATTTAAACTAGATGCTAAAGATGGTTTTTAACACTCTTCATATTGTTAGAATTATTTACTATTAGGCGTTCCAACGACCTGTCCAAATGGCTTCATGTTGGCTTTAATTAATGATAAGGTAACGACTCAGTCTGTAGAGCCAAAACTATATGATTTTTTTTAAGATATATATCAGAAAAGGCACCAATTCAACATAATTTCAATTATACACAGAATTCTCCAAGAAAGTGATACAAAACACATCAAGTTAGGTTTTAAAAATGGAACACTCTGTATTTTATTTAATATATACATACTTGAACTGCTTTGGTGAATGTTTCATCTTGCTTAATTTTTTCAGAAACAGATGTGGCTTCGTGATCGGTATAATGAACGACAGGTGGTGGTGAAGGTGGTCTCAATCTCTCCTCTTCCATTCTCTCACGATGACGTTGTTCTCTTTGCAATTGCCTTTGTCGACATTCCCACTCATATTGATCATCCCTGGCCTGCAATAAAATTTAAAAATAATAATTTAGCATATAACTTTACTCAAAAAAAGAAACTTGAAAAACGATATAACAATGAAATGAGCTTCTTCTTTTCAAAAATTGTGTTATGAAAATTCAATCAATTAGTATTTTGTTGAAGAGCAGTCTATAGTGAGAGACACAATGAGAATGCAGTGTGAAGTCTTATGAAGCGCACCGTTACTCCAGCCGTCGCTATGCCGAGGGATCGGCAAAAAAACAGATCCGGTTTCAGGCAAATTTCGACATTGGTTTAAATTTTATCTCAAAATTTGTATGTTCAATAATAAATAATAAACAATGAATTTCAAATTTACAAATTTATAAGTTTATACACGATGTGTAGTTCATGTTTATTTGCTTATCTTTAAATGACATTTTTATACATTGTATTTGTTTTATGTGAATAAACAACATTATTATTATTATATTATTATTATTCTTAATAGATGATGAAATTAAAGAGGCAACTGAAACTCATTTAGTGAATTGTAAACTTCTTCATGTCAAACGTCTAAATAGAAGAGTTGTGGAATCCGGTAAAGAAATCTCCTATGTACCAACAGGTATGATTTGTGTTACTTTTTCAGGAAAAATGATTCCTAAGGAAATTTCAATATATGATCTCCCATTCAGAGTTGTACCATACAGCACCCCAGTCATGCAATATCATAATTGTTTGCTTTATGGATATCGTATTTATCAATGTAAAGGAAAGGCCAAATGCATAAAGTGTGGTAAATCCCATGAGTCAGATGTTACTTGCAGTAAGTATTGTATTTATTGTAAATCTACGGAACACAGTTCCAACGAGTTTAACTGTCCTGAATATAATAGACAAAAAGAAATCAAGCAACTAATGTCATTTTCGAACATATCTTACTTCAAAGCCAACCAACAAATTCCAAAAAATAGAAAAAACCCTATTCCTAATATTAATGACTTTCCAGCCCGTCCCAACAAGGATACAAATCAAAATAGTATTCCAGTCTCCCAAAGAAGATAAGAAGCCTTGTCTCGTACAAGGTTACCCACCTACAGTCAAAAAATAAGAACGCCAAAAAGAAGGAGATCACTTGATGATGAATATGATAAGAAAAGGCATCAAGAATGCTTAATTAGTCCATCGGGAAGATCATCTAGTCTTCCAACTCGACCCCTATCGTCTCCCTTTCGACTTGAGGAAAGAAATAATATTAAAATTGATGTTATTCAAGCCTTAGATAGCTTATCGGACCAACACAAGGAGTTAGTCATGACTTTCATAGGTAATATTATCAACTCTTTTTATTCTGTATCACAACCTAATGCTTCTCCTAGAAGTCTAGCGGGACCTTCAAATTCTTTCTCTCAGTCAGGTCTAATGGAGTACTCTGAAGATTCAGAGTACTTATTATCTATTATTATTCTCTTCGATCCATTAACCATTATTCAATGGAACATGCGCTCTTTTAACTTAAACATAGATAATCTAAATATCCTAATTAAGGACCACAATCCACACATATTCCTACTTAATGAAACTTGGATGAAGGAAGATTATAGGTTAAGGTGTAGATGTTACCAAACATTGAGAAGAAATGATAGATTGGATGGCTATGGAGGTATAGCCTGTTTAATTAAAAACAATTTAGATTTTCAACCTCTTCTACTAGATTACTATCTAGATCTTCTAACTCAAGTTCAAGCCATCTATCTGCCCCACTGCCAATTAAACTTAGTGAATATTTATTGCCAAGGAGATTACCTTATTTCCAAAAATAATTAGTCTAACTTTATTCAGACATTTAACAAACCTATTTTGATTATGGGGGGCTTAAATTGTAATCATGTATGTTAAATCGTTGAAATTGATGTAATTATGGACTGTATGTTTCACTGATTCTAATCTTTATTTTAATAGAACAATTACAAATAATTAGCAAAATAAACGTAAAAAAACAGAGCGTTGCAAAAGTCAAATAGTCAATATCAATCAATATAATCCCGCGTTCTTGTTCGGACGGCACATCCATCGCGCCGCGCAGGGTTCTTGGACCGTCTCTTCTTATTGGCTGGCGCAGTGTCGCGTCACACACTGTTGACACCGTTGCCGAGCATAAGATAGATTTATTGTATGTGTTTATCTGCAATGAATGTCTTAAACAATGTGTGTTGGGGAAGCTCCTCAAATAGCTCAAACGGTAAAAATATAATAAATTCTTTAGATTCTTTACAATTAGTGTTTTTAAAATAATGGCTCCCCTACATGAATTTCTCCACCAAATGGTTTGGCTCATAAATCTACTTGGGAAATGATTCTGGATTTGTGCTTTAGTAACCATTTCCCTACCAAATGTAAATTAGGAGTCCCTAATAATGCCCCTAACCCCTAACAATGGAAGAAACTTCAACAAGGCAGATTGGAATTCTTACTTTAATAAATTATTCTTATTCCTTCCTTGCCCAAAGATAATTATGATTTCATATCTATACTAAATCAAGTTGCTGATACTACTATTCCCTTCTTCAAGCCTAACAGGAATGTTAAATATCGTATCCCTTGGTGGGATGATTCATGTAATGAACTTGTATCAAACAGAGTAACCTCTATTAGAAATTTCATGGAAAGTCCAAATTTAGATAATTACATCCAAGTTAAAAAAAAATAGCTACATCTAGAAAAGTTCTCAAATCCAAACGGAAAAATAGGTTTAGGATGTATTGTAGCTCCCTAAATCGTGAAGTCCATTTGGAATAAAATTAATAACATTACTGGTTTAAAACAAAATCTCTCGAATCTAATGCCTACCCAATCGATTGCGCAAGAAATCTTAAACATTCTTTACCCTCCTTCCCTGGAAAATGTGTGCCAAATCATTAGCTCAACTCATTCAGAATCCCCCTTTACTCTTAATGAATACTCAAGTGTGTTAAATTTGAAACGAGACTCTTCTCCAGGCTTAGACCTTATTTCATAATCTATGCTAAAAAATGTACCTCGTTCAGGCTCCTTGTTTCTTTAAGTATCTTTAATAAGTGTCTTTTAATAGGTTCAATTCCTCAACAATGTAATCAATCCTTAATTCTACCTATAATTAAGCCAAATAAGGATAAAATGGTAGCATCAAATCATATGCCAATTTCCCTTTCCTCCTGCATAGGCAAAGTATTAGAATGCTAAACCGACTTGAATGGCATTTAGAAAATAACCAAATTCTTAATCCCTTACAATTGGGCTTCAGAAGAGGCAGGGGTCATACGGATTGTCTTATCTTACCTCACAAATGCAAATAGGCTTCTCCCTTAATGAATTTACTATTGGTCTTTTCATCGATATTTCTACATCATATATGATTCAGTTAATATTCCTCGGTTATATTCTATTTTACTAGATGCGAATGTCCCAGTGGATTTGGCCAATTTAATACATTCCTTTTTAGTAAAAAGATAACGATTTACTAGACAATTTGGGTCACATCCATGGTCCTCAAACTACTAATCAAGGCCTTCCTCAAGGTTCTCCACTTAGTCCCATTTTGTTTAACCTTTATACCTTGGCTCTATTTGATATTCTGCCTAATAATTTTAAATTAATTCAATATGCTGATGATCTGGTAATACTGGTTAATGGATCAAATGTTTACAATATGATTCCACGTATCAACTCCTTTTTGCTTAAATTAGAGTCCTGGTTGGAAAAACATAACCTTAATCTTTCATTGCATAAAACTTCGGCAGTATTATTCACTAAAGGGGTAACTAAAATTACTTAACCTAATATCATCTATAAATCTCAAATCATTGGAAGGATAAAGTTAAATAACTGGGGATAAGCATTTATAAGAATCTTAAATGGAATTCTCACTTTAATGATTTAAATGTTAAGATCAATCATAACCTTAATGTCATGCGTGCCCTTTGTGGAACTTGGTGGGGATGTGACCCACAAATATTAAGAATTTTACATAAATCAATCATTTTTTCCCACTTTGATTATGGATGTCAAATTATAATACCGTGTTCCCAGGATATACAAAAGAAGTCAGGTACATTTCAGAACCAAAGCCTTCGTTATCATCACAGGGTGTATGAAATCTACCCCAATTCTAGCCTTATTGACTGGGACTAGTGAACTCCCCCTTATATTTAGGGGGAGTGTATAGTCCAGATATAGATTATGCATTCTCAAGTAAGCTTCCTTTCCATACTCAAATTTGTGCAGCTTAAGTTGTAGCTATCAATAAGGCCTTGCAAGTAATATTAGACAAAAACATTGTTCAATCCATTATCCTCTCAGACTCCAAAGCTGCACTTCAAAAAATAGCAAGATCATGCTTATCCAGGGAAACTTAACATTGTTCCTACTTGACAAAGGACGGTATCTTACTCGCAAAAGATGAACATATCAAAATAATTCTGGCATGGATTCCAGGCCACTCTGGGATTCTGGGTAACTTCAAGGCTGATCAATTGTCAAATATAGGAAGATCTCTGAATATTCCAGTGAATATCAAATTAAACTATCATAATTTATTTCCATTCATCAGAAAAATTGTGAATTCAAGATGGCTTGAAGAATGGAATAGCCTCAAGAGTAGGAAGAATTCCTTTTATTCTAAAGTCGTTCCACGATTTGATAAAATCCCTTGATTTTTAAATTTAAAGGACAGAAGACATTTAACTACAATAATTAGGATGAGGACATTGCCTATCCCCATATCACTTATTTCGTATAGGAGTAAAAGACGATCCATATTGTGAGTGTGGTCAAATTGGCTCATTAAACCACATTATCTTTATATATATTTATAAATACGATGACAAACTTTGATTTATACTATGAATTGGCAAAAACTAAACTCTCTACACCCTTTGACATTTGTTTTATGTTGGCAAACATTAATAATAACAGATTAAACATTTTAATCAAATTTTTAAATATATTTAAAATTCAATTATAACCCTAATATTTAATCCTCTCTTTCAATCCTGGGTGCTTCTACTATTTACCGTTGGCAGTTTTCTGGTTGTGTTCAGCTTGGCGACTGCCCCCAAGCAAGAAAAGTTTTTATCCTGTGTTGTGACGTCCAAGTACTAACTTTGTATGCCCCTCTATGTATATAACTGAAGTCGTAACATTAAGTCTAATAAGCTTTTTTACTTCAAAATATGTATTAATTTAATTGAAGGTATCCAATTGCTGAGTGCAAGACAAGGATACTCTCCCCGATGTTGGCTGGGAAAATTATCCTGTAGGATATAGCCCTAATAAAGGAAGAAGAATCTATGTAATGTCCATAGTAATAGTAAAATCGATTTGATGATTAAATTGTTAACATTGATTTGTATGCCTAAATCCTAGATATTTATGTTTAAAAAATTAGTAAAATAATTTTAACATAACTACATTATCTTTTTTGTGAATATACATATCTAATTAGATAATTCATGTGACATAACATGGTGACTCAGTTCATAGTGCTCAACTTTATCAACTTTGCATGTTGCGACCATGTCACAATGTGGGTTCAATTAGTTTTTTATTTTATTTTGGAAAAATGTTAAAATTTAAAAAATAGGACCATTGATGTTTATTTATTTTAAATGCATTTTATTTATCATAATATAACGCCTAAGTTAAACTTTTCGCTAGTTATTTTGTACTATTTTGATTACTGTTCAGAAAAAAATTGTAAGTAGATAAGTACGTAATCATGTTTAATAATAAAAAAGTTCTTGTTCACGGTTGTTCATCTTATTATATTATTCTATTCTAATATGTTTTTTGTATTCAATGTTATTTTACCGTTATCATCCCATGGAAGTGGTTGTAAATGTAATCACAATGGTTTTAATTTCGACAAAAAAAAACCAAAACAAATCTATAATTGAACCTTAACAGCCAGCCTGGTTTTACACTTTTTGATAAAATTATTTTGTAGTCGTAGGAAAAATATTGTACATTACTTGTGTAAAAGTGATTTTTCATACTCGTAATGTAACCAATCGAATATTTCGTGGGAACTTTTACTAAGCGATGATTATGAAAATATGAAGCGCTATCTAAAACAATGACTGATTCTGGATCTAATAATAATAATAATAATAATAATAATAATTTATTATTTACCATATAAAACAAAGATATACAAAGTAGTAACTCTAAAAATATTGCCTAGAGAGATAAAAACGTATGGTAAATAAAAGGTTAAAGTTAGGTCATGGACCGATTCTGCCACAATAACCTTAAAAAAAAAGGAAAAAGATATTTAAGTTTTACCACCCTTATAACAAATACGTAAATAACAAAAAAATATATATAAATATAAGCGCGAAAAAGTACATTGAAACCACATTTCAAATACAATTGCTTACATGTCTTCATGATAATCCCTGGTCTTTCGTAATTCAAAAACATTAAGTACACCTACAATCCTGCCAATATGCATAATTATTAAATGATGAACTTTATCTGGAAGTGATTTCAATCCCGTAGAGAGTCCTTGTAAGAAAGAACCTCTTTGATTTTTGAAATAATATACTATAAAATTAAAAATGTATATTTCAACATCTGTCAAACACATTTATTAGTTGACTTCTAGTAAGCGGTGTTTATAATGAAATTTTTTTAAATATGGTTTATAAAATATTGTTTTATTAAAAAACATTCAGGATTACCCATTTAATAAACGTTTTTATTTTTACAAGAATAATCCTGGAAATCATAAAATGTATGAGTCTAACTTACCTGAGCATAATCAACATGCAGTCTGCCTGTATTAGCTGGTTCACTATTAGACCCAATTCGAACTCTATATCCAGACAAAAAAATTGCTGCATCCACAGAAGCTTCATACACAAATCTTAAATGGCAAAAATTTTTCTTGCTTAGTCTTAAAGTTGTAATTTCTCCACACCTTTCAAAAATCTCCATTATAATTTCTTCAGTCATATTTTCAGGTAAGCCTCCAACAAAAACTGTACGGCATCCCGGAGGTCTATCCCTTATGGAAGGCATAGGAGCATTGGGATTTGGGGGGAATAAAGTGCAAGATTTGCAGTGGATTATTTCTTTTACTGGATTAATCATCATTGTAGAATCTGGAGGAAGAATAGCCGGATCTGGAGCTAACATTGGTGGAATCATGCCATAGTTGTTCATTTGCATTAAATTTGGATCCATAATCATATTCATACCGACCATAGGATATCCCATACCTTAAAATCAAATAAATATTAACTAAAGTGGTAAAGGGCTTTTGAAATGGTCAGAGATTGTCAATTTCTTACGATTGTAGAGTTATTTAAACAAAGAAAAAGAATTGTAAAATTTATTTGGGGACATCAGGTCAGATTTGGGTTTTAGAGAGGAATCAATCTCAAGAAATTTATCCTGCAGAACAACCAGTAGTTTCAGTAGGAACTTTATTAGAAGATTTTTGATACTAATTGTAACATACCAAATGTTTCGGATGAAATGGAAAAAGAGTTAGGTAATTTATAAATTAGATTTTTCATGGGTAAAATGCTCGGTAAAATGTGATATTCATTCAAACATTATAAGGTAATCTATAATTAAGGGGTTATGGAAAATAGGTATACCCTCATAGTATAAGAAAGAGGACAAAAAATATAATAACAAATAATGAAAAAAATTTATAAATCTTTAAATAGTGTCTATTAAATTAAAACCTTAAACTACAGCAACAATACAAATCAAAACTATTCCACATTACCTAGTCTATATATGAGAAAACTATTATGATACAGTTAGCTTCTTTATGGTTGATATAGATTATGAAGGTTCAGTGTTAAGGTGGTGAGCAATGAAGCAGAAGTAGTTAAATAAAATAATTGTTGAACTATTTGGCAAAAAATCAGGGTCCTAGTAAAGTTGTAAAATTAGGGGCAAACTATAACCTACGAACCTTGTAGATGACTAGCCTTAAAAAAAAACAACGTACCCATCATGCCTGCCCACATATTTGGGGGTCCTATCCCAGGACCATTCTGTGGTATTGGGACTACATCTTGTGAAGATATGTTAGAATCTGAATCAACAGATTTATCTGTATCTCTTCTATCTCTATTACTACGACTACTTGTTCTAGACCTCTTATCGGAAGGGCTTTGGCTTGAATCATCTTTATCCTCAGCAGATTTAGCACACTTATTTTTCAAAAATTCTAAAGGGGCATCGTTCATTCCGGAATTAAACATTTTGTTAGGTGTCGTAAAGTTCAAAAATTTGAAGTCTATAAAAGCATTACGTAATTATTATATAAATAGTATGCAATTATAATTTATTAATACCACATTAATCGATTTACTATTTATTAGCACTTAACAACAAACACAAATCAGAAACAGAAATTGCGAAAATTGCACTGTGCCAATCACAAACAGGCATTACAAAGACCTGTCAAAAATGTCAAAATGTTTAGAAAAGGCAACCCTGCGAGCCTGTTGTCATGACAGAGCCAATGATACACATATAGTTATATAGATTGCTCAAAGCTGGTCGTTTTGCGAGCGGCCATATTGTCTTGCAGGTGCTCATTATTCAGAATCGTTTTAGCAAAAATATGTTTTGAAACCAATTTTTAGCCTTTGAATATAATAAAAAAATAATTACCTACATTTTTATTCAAGGCATAAGCTTATGTTTATTTTTAAAACATGGATAATCAATCTATATAACTGTCAATTAACATTGACGCTGTCAAATCCCTAGGCCCGCAATGTTGCCATATCATAACCTGTCAAAACCCCTTGGCAAACATTTTCTTAGCAGCTAAATTATATTTAAAAATATTAGAACCGATTCCACCATTGTGTTAAAAAAAGTTTAAATTAAAAAACGAAGATTAAAATGACGTTGTTTTTGAAAAAAATGTCATTTTAATCTTCGGCCCTTGGTAAACAAAACAAACATTAGTGGTACCAAAATTACATCATTACGGTTATTACGGGCTATGGTTACCGATATACATTAGGTTCTTTCGTTCGCTATTGGTGCGTAGTGTCCACCAGTGTAAATTACACCAGTTACACCACCTTATTTACCCTAATTTACTTCCTCCTTATTCCTTATACCCCAGTATAAAGAACAATAATACTGGGCTTATACACATCGTCGAGTGTAATTCACTCCTGCTAAATAGCTGGTGGAGAAAATATCCACCAGTGTCAGAGACAACTAACCAGTGTACACCACATCGCCGACAGGAAGGTATAGTGGGTTTTACACCGGACCAAACGAAAGGTATGGGTGTGGGTTGGTGTAGTTCATTACTACACCCAACTACACCAGTGGGACGAACGAAAGAACCTATTAGGTTCTTTCGTTCGTCCCACTGGGGTAGGAATAAACTACACCAACGGACACTAAACCTTTCGTTTGGCCCGGTGTAAAACCCACTATCCTTCCCTTATAGATAAATACCCACATACTTTGATTTTCTTTTACTATACGGAGAATGGTCGCACTGCGCAGCTTTCTGAGTGCCTTTTAAAAGGAGATAGAAAACTCCGCCATTTTGAACCCTTATTACGTGTTGCCTACATCTTGGTGCAATATTTTTAATAGGTGCGTTTTAATCATCCGCTTCTGCTTCGTAATTGTCGGTTTTCTTGTTTTAATCTGACAGGTTAAAACGACTAAACCCTGGGGGTCGATTCTCGACTCGTAGGAATATTTTTCTATAGGAATTTTTGACATTTTTATATACATCGAAAATTTATGACATTGTCCTACATATAGGAAAGTGTCACAAATTCCTATAAGAAAAGGTTCCTACAAGTCGAGAATTGACCCCCAGGGGCTCGATTCTCGAGTTCATTGGAAAATTTTCCCATGGGAAAAGATTCCACTACTTATATTCCCATGGTAATAGATTATGCAATTCTCGAACTTGTCGGAATAGACATTCCCATGGAAATAATAGCACAGCTTATTCATATCATTGATATAAATAAGCTGTGCTTATGCCTTGAAGTAAAAATGTTATTATTTTTTTAAATATCTAAGGACCGATTCCACCGTTGTGTTAAACGAAGTTTAAAATGACATTTTTACATTAACAATGTCATTTTAATCTCCGTTTAACACAAGGTGGAATCGGCTTTATGGATGAAAATTTGTTTTAAAACTCATTTTTGCTAAACCGATTCAAAGTAATAAATAAATTTGCCAGGCAATATGGCCGCTCTCAATCGACCAGCTTTGAGCAATCTATATAACTATATCATTGACCCTGTTAATGACAACATGACAACAGGGTTGCCATATCTAAACTGTCAGTCCCCACTAGTAGCCTTTTGGATAGGTCGTTGGAATGCCTAATTAACTTTTGGGACATTCCGGTTGGTCATAGAAGTTTGTGTGCTGTGTGCTTTAACTTTTTTGTTGTTTTAAAATTGACATTTTATGCTTATGCACTTACGGTATTTTGGCGGTACTATGCAAGTATGCAATACGAGACCATGAGGCAGTTTAGTGGGTTTTTTTGAGGCAGTTCCATACGTAAATAAGGCAGTTCCGGCAAGTTCTGCAATTTTCACCATTTTCATTGTACTTCCTTTAATTCGACGTTAAGTCCACAAGAGAAATGGACTTAATAAACGTTAATGAAGTAGAAATAACTACATTCGTTAATCCTCATTTATTTTGGTTTGTTTTAAAGAACAATGAACGAGGTGAACTTTTAAAGAATTTAAACAAGCAGCTACTTGAAACTTGTAAGCCTAAAAACACTTCCAGCGACAAATTTGAAGTTGGTGAGGTAAAATATATATTTTTTAATGATTTCTCAGACAAAATACAAAATGTTTATGCTTACTTAGGTATTATTCATTAGTACTTGGATTAATCATTATTCCATAGATAATTAACCCTTAATTTGATAGGTGAAAACTTCTTCTAATCTACTTGATCTTCCTGTGGTATGAAGCTTGAGATATATTTCGAATTATAAAATTGGTAATTTTAAATTGTATTCGTTTAAACTACTAATCAATCCATTTAAAAAATGTAGCCTGGACATGTCTTTAAACATATTTATGGATTTGAAGTAGGTATATATGCATTTAAATCATCACTTACAAGTCCCACTGACTAACTACTCAAGCAGCACCGAACAGTTTTATTCAGTACTTCAAGGATGCTTTAAAACTAGAATAAAGCTGCAATTAAAACCAATTAGTTTTAAAAGTAGCCTTAAGATTGTAATAAATACACCTTCAGCAAACAAGAGCTCATTATGAAAGAGGTCAAAAAAAGTAAAAAAAAAACTACTATAAAATTATATTACCTTGAACAACTGATTTTAAAGCTGCTGTGAAGACCCTTTTAAAACCAGTATAAATACATTTTAAACACATGTGGTTTTGAAGTGGACTTAAAAAATGTTAGTTATATGTATATTAACATCATTACCTGGAAACTGGTATGAGACCAAATTGTCGATGAATGGTAGAGTTAAAGTATACATGATTCAAAATAGTCTGCGAAGACTACTACTATTTCTTTTGGTCCACTGATACACTTTCCATTAAAAGTCATACACTTGGGTAGGCCAAAGTCCTTTTTTAGAGTTAATATATGACCAGAAGCACTTTATGTTGGACGGAATTGTGTGTTCCATATTGATAAGATACAGCATGTCAATGTAGTACTTAGTTTCATTCTGGATTTCCTTGTACCTTTCATAATCTGTTTGTTTGAATTTTTTATAGACATTATTTTTCTGTTTAATTAATTTTCGTAGGTAGAGGCTGTACCATTTAAGGAAATTTCCATCTTGTAATATTTTTTTGGGACCATATAACTCAATACCCTTAAATAAAATATTATGAAACTGAGTCAATACATTTAGGTCTTCCAGTTCATTAAGAAAACTCCTATCGATTGTTGTAAAATAATGATTGAAGTCCAGCATAATCTCCCTTTTAAAATTGGAAAATAGATTAACACAATATAATGAAATAAATCCTACATTTATAAGAGTTGACAATAAAAATCAAATCAGTGATAATAAAAGACCAGTTTTTATAGAAAAACCAAACAAAAACTGAAAGTGTGAGTATACCTGTTGGAAATAAACATTTAATACCAAACAAAACAAGCGATTATAGGAATGCCCCTGTACAGGATGCCTCATTCCTCCAAAGGAAACAAGTTGCATTAGAACTAATGAAAATTCAAACCCTACAAAAAACTAATGAAATAATAAATCTAGCAGATGATACCAATGAGGGGAGTCATGAGAATGATTATATCACAGTGACAAGACGGCAAAGGAGAAAAACAAAACAATTATGGGAAGTGGAGAAGGTGATGATGAATTTAATGGAAGGGAAAAATCAAACAAAAAAATTTGGCTCTTTGTATCTAGAGTATCAGACACTGTAAATGAAGAGAATGTTAAGAAATACATTCATAAACGCACAAACGCAGAAGACATTTATGTGAAGAAACTAGACACATATTTTGTAAGACAGAATAATCAAGCTTTTCTAGTGGGAATAGATCCTCATTTTCAGGAGCAAGTATATAAATCAGATTTTTGGCCGAAAAATATAATTTATTCACAAAACCAGAGATCGCATAAGAGTGAAGAAAATTTTTCAAACCTGATAAAATAGGGACCTCAAGGACTACTATGAAAAACCACCTTTTGAAAGAAAATAATGAATTACTATTTTGCAGTTCCCAACAGTTAAATATTACTTTAATGCATATCAATATTTGCCAATAAATGCTTTGATCTAAATTTAATTTTACAGAAATAAAATGTAAATATTCTATGTGTTACTGAACATTGGCTTGATTCTAACAATTTACAAGCTACCTCAATTGATGTTTTTAAGCTAGTATCATATTTTTCATGGATAAATAAAGACAAAGGTGGTGCTAGTATATTTATGAAAATATTGCTGCAAATTTTGAATCAATCAATTTACATAGGTGGTGTATAGAAGGTGAATTTGAAGTATGTGGTGGAAAAATAAAGATTGATTTTAAACTTTTTTTATTTATTATTACTGTGTATAAGCCACCTTGTACTAAGTTTAGCACTTTTATAAATCAGCTAGAGGCTATTAATTCATAATATTTATCAAAACGACAATCACTATTTTATCTATGGTAATATTAACGTAGATTTTTTGACTGAAGGTAATCAAAAAACTTTTAATTGACTTATTGAAGGAATTTAATA